AGAAAAAGACGAAGGCAAGCTTTAAAACGACAAAGGCCATTAACAAAAGGAATTGAAAAATTCTAGTTACCTATAGTAAACTTAAATATAAAATTACTTTATTAAATAAAACTATCTTTTCGGATTATTTCGCGGATTTATTTTGATTTTTGGTTCCCGACGTTTCGAATGCTTTACAGCATCCATGGTCACGGGAGAGGCTGAGGTGTTACATGTCTTAAAGATATAGTTGTTACAGACAGCCTACCCACAATTAACAAAATGAAAATTGCACCAATTACATTACAATATTTTTAACTTTAAACATTTTTTATAATTTTAATTATAATTGAATATGGAAAATTATTTATTTAATTTTTGCTATTATTTTTATAATTACTACAATTTTAAAAATATTAATTAGTAATCTATATTTAGTGTTGCCATTATTATATTTATAACCATAAATAAAAATATAAAAATATAGTATTAATTATTAAAGCCATATAATTGTTCTATGTGTAATTTAAAAAGTTAAAATTAATTACGGATAATCATTTTAATTTAGTTTGCTATTATTTAAAAACAACTTACTAAGCAACACTATTAAAATATACTTTTACAAATGAAAAATATTAATCTGATAAGCTGTCATTTTGATCTACACAGTATGAACTTACTACATCTGCCTGTCTGTTATGTTTATATTTATTATTTGATTTTATTATATTAATAACAGGATCCCATGACGATGGTAGTACCCAGCCATCTTCCCTATTGAAATTTGGATGTTTTTTAATTTCTATGGCTTCTCGAATCATTCTAGGGCGATATCGGTTTTCTTTCGCCAGGATTTGAGGTCTATCGAAACGAATATAATGGCTTGGTCGGTCCTGGCTATGTTTGCAGACAGCAGATGTTGTATTGCGACGGTGCTTCACATCAGCTATGTGTTCTTTGACCCGGGTTCTAATGGATCGCTTTGTTTGTCCAATGTAAGAGAGCCCACAATCACAATCAAGCTTGTAGACTCCTGCATCTTGTAGAGGGATGTGGCACTTGACAGGTGGTAAGAACTGACTAATTTTCTTTGGCGGCTTGAAGTAAGTTTTAATTGAAGCTCGCTTTAGAATGTAGCCAATCTTGTCAGTGACTCCTTTCATGTATGGCAAGACTGCAGGGACGCGCTCGACTGTGGCTGGTTTCACTCGGTCACTGTGACGCAGGCGCGGCACTTGCAGCTTGTTGTCACGCAGAACTTGCTTGACATGTTGCAGTTCTCCGGCCAGGTGTTGCTCGTCACAGATCCCGCGCGCTCTCTGAAACAGAGATTTTCCCACGGTAGCTAACTGTGAAGGATGGTGGTGAGATTCACCGTTCAGGTACCTATCAGTATGGGTCTTCTTTCTATACACAGTATGACTCAAGGTGTTGTCTGGGTTACGTTTAACTAATACATCTAGGAAAGCTAAGGTTTTGTCCGATTCTAATTCCATTGTAAATTGAATTTTAGGATTTATAGAATTAAGGTGTTCTAAGAATACAGTTATCAGAAGGTAATATTGTAAAAGTGTCATCTACATACCGCTTGTAGAAACGAGGGGTCACGGGTGATGTGTTCAGAGCAGTCTCCTCGAAGTCCTCCATGAAGATGTCGGCTACGACGGGGGAGACTGGCGAACCCATGGCCACTCCATCCACTTGCCTGTAGAATTCACCATTCCACAGTAGATAGCCGGATGTTAGGCAGTGTTTTAAAAGTTCAATGTATTCTATTGACATGTTGTGATCTAGTAGCTTCCTAGATATTATTTCAATACAGTCTTCCACTGGTAGGCTGGTAAATAAAGACTGTACATCGAAACTAACCATTGTTTCATTGTCCATGAGTTTTAGGTGTTTAACTTCATTGACAAAATGGTAAGAGTCCTTTGTGAACGCTCTTGTTAATCCTCTGAGTGGTGAGAGTACTTTTGCTACTAGTTTAGCCAATTTGTAAGTCGGTGAGTCGATTTGACTCACAATTGGACCCGTGACCATGGATGCTGTAAAGCATTCGAAACGTCGGGAACCAAAAATCAAAATAAATCCGCGAAATAATCCGAAAAGATAGTTTTATTTAATAATGTCAAACATTCGCGTAAATCTAAGAAAGTATTATAAAATTACTTGTAAAACGATGATTTTTAAAATAATCAAAAATTCATATATTATATAGAAAAATATACATCCAAATTCTGAACCTTCTCCTCAGTTGAAGTCGGTTAATAGAAACAGAATGTAACTTTACTTAGAAGTTTGAATGTATTTTAAAAAACCATTTTGTATTTGTTCTAAATCTAATAAGCATTGCATTTTATGCACCAGTGGATCTCCATGAATAAATCTAATTTAAAATCTAAAAAGTATTCACTATTGCATTCGTAGAGCTTATAGTTTTATTACTTTTACAAGTTTATTCCAGCTTAATATTATTTTTTAAAAATGCTCCAAAGGCGAATCACGGTTTAGCATAAGTTTCTTTAATTAAATAATTATTCAATTTTATGTAAAACTTTTCTGGTAATTCTACAAAAGCTTTATTATAACATTTATATTTACTCTCGATCATATTAAAATCTTATTTGCTTCAGGATATTCTGCGTCTATTACTAATTTTTTTTCTGTTTCTCCGTTTTTTACGAGATAGTTAAGTATTTAGTAAATCGGTTACTTAAACCGTTTCAATAGAAATTATTGTTTATTAGGAAAACAATAATATCCTTAATATGATATCATTTTGCTTACTAAAAATCTTAAATCTATTTACTAGCTCACAGATAACATGCTATCTAAACTACTGGATTCAAAAGGTCGACATCGAGTTCACTATATAGGTAAGCTTAGTTTAGGTGTAGCTAATTTGAAATTACAATTTTATCTATACATATAATAAAATTCTGAGTCAAATCTGTACATTAAAAATTGTTTGGAAAATCTTATTGAAATAGATATTATTACCAATACAGAGGCCGAATCTATAGTTTTTAGAATTTTTGTCTGTCTGTCTGTTTCCGCATCACAGACAATCTACTGGACGGATTTTGATGAAATTTGGTAGAGTCATAGCTGATTATCCGGGTGAACATATAGAATACTTTTTACAGCGGAAAATATTTCATTTCTGAGAAAAAATACAAAAACTGCAATATAAGAGTATACTAATATGTAAAACCTAAGAATTTGGTCTTTCGTCATCTGAACGCGGGCGGAGCCGCGGGCAATGATAGTTCATAAATATAAGTATAGACTATAATGTTAATGCTTCCATTCAAACACATACTATAGAGTTATGATACAATACATATTTCAGTCTCATGACAAGAACTCCTTTAATTAATTATATTTTAATATTTGAATGAATGAGGGCTATAATTTATTAGGTATAAGGTTTATTATCATTAGTGGAGAGCTCGAGAGCGTCCAAAGTTTTTATTTAGGAAGTTTTTAGTTTATTATTTTTACGTTTTTTACCCTTGCAACCGTTCCTTTGATGTATAACCTCATCTTTTGTTTCACATTTAGGTACGTTTAAATCCTTTTTGCCAAATAAGTTTTATAGTAGGTAATATCATTAAGCAATTTACATGTTCACATAAAGTTTATATTCTTATACACATTATATTAGAGGGCTGCTCTTTTTTTCCCTTTCTCGCTATACCTAGCTATGTGTATTCAGCCCTTTTTAACGTCCCACTGATGGGCACGGGCCTCCCTTCAATACGAGGGGGATCAGACCATAGTCCGCAACGCATATCATAGCAAGTCTCCAGGCATGCAGGTTTCCTCACGATGTTTTCCTTCACCGTAAGGCAAGTGGTAATCATGATAGAAATGATTCGCACATGAAAATATCAGAGGTGCGAGACCCGGGATTTGGACCCGCTTCACTCGGTTTCCCAAGCGATCGCGTAACTACTGGGCTACCACTGACTTTTACCTAGCTACGTAATTAATATAATTGTTTTGTTTACTTTATTTTTATAGGTAGATGTATAATAAGAAATTATTTTAAAAATTATGCGTCTACATCACAAATACGATAAATTAATAACAATAATGTTGAAGTGTCAATTACAAGACGAGCTGGAGCGTTCACAACTTTTCTTTTGTCACGCTTTCAGTTCAGACAGCGAGATCTTTGAGGCACGCGATATCTTATTGAGGGAGTTTTTCATCAGATTATTCTCAAAACTAATTGAAAAGAATACCTCAGCTTGGTACTTATTTTAGCATTGAAATTTTGAACAAATTTAATTTTAAATAATAATTACTTTAGAAATAACATATTCTAGGACTTTACAATTTGTTAGAATTAATTGTTCCTCTCATGCAATCTTATTTTAGTCTTAGGTTTATATATTTTGGTTTTGTCAAGGGCTTAATCTTAATATTATTTATTTTGAGATTATTTGTTAAAAAAATCATTAAAATTCGGTTTATTATAAGGTGAAGAAATCTTGCATTATTTGCACAAAAAATACACCCAAAAAAAGAGTAAGCCTTCATGTTTTTGAAATTAGTAGGAGAAATTTTACTTATTAAAATTATAATAAAGTCTATAACTGACTATCGAAATGATAAAAGAGTCCTATAATTTCGTTTTCATTATTTGAAAGAGTATGTCGGTTAATGTGGAAAATAATTGGACTGAGTTAACAATGATGGGTGTTTTAAAGATATTATTTCAGTTCCGGTATCTTTTCACAAAAACCCCATTTCCTCTGTGATGTCAGACAGTCTCATCCTGTCTAGGCCTTTTCCATCATTTTATATAACAATCTTAATGATTCAACAAAGCTCTATTAACCAAAAATATTGATTTGTGCAACTGGTATGCTGTTAAATAAAGCCGCAAATTTACTGTACGTTGAAATAAAAAATATATTTAAATGTAACATATTTTATTAATTACTTAAACTAATAAATGCAATTTGGAAATTATTTACAATAATATGTAGAATCACAATGGTTATTTCTTATAAATATATTGGAGGTAAGTAACTTTTTAAAGAGGGACCCGCTCGTCCTAGCGGAGGTAGACCTGGTGTATGAAAGGTTTTTATATGTCGTTGAGGTTCTGGTGGGAATTGATTCTTTTGGTCCAGATTTTTACGACGTTGAAGAACCTTATAATTTTTAATAAGCCCGTGTAATTCTTGCTGCTGTTCGTTATTCAATACTCGGAAGTCAGTGTCTTTCTTATTTATTTCACGGTTCTCATTATTTTCTTTAATTGGTATGTAATGAGCGGCGCTTCCATCTTTTATATTTGAGTTCTGATTATAATTATTCGTTGGTTTATTTTTTGGTTTTGTTTTTACTGATTCAAAATGATTCTTCATGACTACATAGTTGAGAACATCACCCAAATCTAAAGGTTTTGAATTAAAATATTTAATATCATTTTGCGGACGTTGCTCAAATTGAATAAATTTAGGCACCTTGTCGATTTTTGGCTCAGAGTATTTTTGGTTATTTATATTGTCATTATCTACTACTGGTTTTTGATCTGTGCCCTCTTTTTCAGGCACTTTAAACAAATTTCTCAAGAAAATATTATCTTTTATAATATTTTCGATAGGTGCTTCGGTAGTTGTAGTTTCATATTTCCTGAAATCTACTTCTGTTTTAATTGATAAGGGTTTGAAAGTATTTTTTCCATTTGGCTCTACATCAAAATGTTCACCATTGTTTAGATAGTCATGTGTTGATTCAACAGAAGAAGTTTGTTTTTTTACGGTTTCTATAAATGAATTATTTTCACCTTTGTAATTGTTATTATATGGATAGTAATTTTTATACATGCTATAATTCGCAGACATGTCATTTATAGCATTTATTGGGGAAGGCTCAAACGATGTAACTTCTACATTATAGGATTTTGTTGCTATTTGACTTTGTGGCGTAAAATTATAGCTGCTAATTATATCAGAGTAAATATTAGAATCCATTTTAAACTTTTGTGTTTCATGAGGGTATAAGTCACTGTGTTCAGTAGAAGTATAAGATTGATATTTTTCCGTCATCATATTTTTTAAGCTCTCGTTGTTAATGTTATTGGCATCGTACGTATTAATATTTTCACTGTAGCGCGGTGAAGAGAATTGCACTTCTGTACTACGTTCAATAGTATTGGATTCTACAGTATTCTTACCTAAAATTTGTGATTGCATAATCTGTTTATATTGAGTAGGTGTCATATCTGAAAAATTTATGTATATATCATCGCTATCACTTGATGATCTGGATATGGAGTTTTTATTTGAGTTTTGATTTGTCTCAGTATTTAAACCATATTGCCATCTCCATAGAGCTTTATTAGCTTCTTGCTCATTTTCTTTTATGTCAGCTTCATAATTCATTAATTTAGGTAAAGGCGATTTTTCCATACCGATAACTTTAGTAGAGTGGGTCTGAGAGTAAATGGCAGGATTGTGAGCACCTTGTGAAGCAAGGAATGTAATTTGTGGCGAAATCGAAGTTTCCATAATATTTACCTTTGATTTAGATTGATCTGCATTCATTTCAAAATTAGTTTTGTTTGGAGCAGATGAGCTTGTTATTTTTACTGAACTAGGCATCGATCCTTGAGAAAACCCAAGCGAAAATGCTTCAGGTGTTCTTCCTGTAAATAAGCTACGAGGTGGTGGCACATGATAAACATTACGTCTTGTTTCTTCACCCACGTATTCCCTTTCTTCGTTTTCCCATGAAGATTTTAGGTGTGGTGGTCTTTTTGCTTCTTCTGCCAAATTATACTGAATAGATCTAAAAAACAAGTTTTATTAATAATATTTGCAAATATATAAAGAAATATTAACACGGTATTATATTAAGTACCTTTGTATTATTTCCGGGATCGGAGGTGGTACAGGTAGGTGATCACCGCTAGCTCGAAATCCGTTAGAATCAGCGACATAGTGGACGGTGTATGTTCGTCCATCATCGCCAATATAAGAATACGAGCCTTCTACAACTTGCTCTTCTTTATCAGTTCCCATATTTTCCATGCGACTATGTTGCACGTAATGAGTTTGATCTGCCCCTAAAGCTCTAAAAAATTTAAATCAGATATTAAAATAATATTTTATCTTAAATCAGTAGTTTTATAATAATAGTAACTTACTCATAGCTAAAACTCCCATCTAAATCCATTTCATTAGATAAACGAAGTATAGGAATTGCAGGTTCTGTTGTAGACGAAACAAAAATACCAGGTGCATGAACATACTGAGAATTTTTAATAGAAGCAGATTTGACTTGATCCATTTCGGAGTCGACCTTCTGAAATTCACTTGTTATGATCATTCTTCGGGCAGCTGGTTTTATAAAATTTTGCATGGGTGTATTAGTACTAGACATAAAATTTGGTAATTTAACGTCAATACTTTTTTCACCATTTGAAAAGCTTGGGATCCTTGAGTTTCTTTCTAATTCTTTCTTGTCAAATAGTTGTCGCGAAGCTGAAGTATTATTTATATTGATAGATGGAGTTCGCTTTATATTTATTAAACGACGATGTTGATTATTGCGTTCATCATCATCATTGTCATCTTCAAAACTGGATTTTGAAGTTGACGACATGATCATAGGAAAAGATGTAGGGTAAAATGATGGCGCTTTTGTTCCAGTAGGAGACAAATACTGATATGATAATTTATTGATATCGTTTAAAGCATAATAAGGTATTGATGTTCGTGATTCTGGTGACAAATAAACAGAACTATCCGAAGAAAATAAAACCGAACTAGGGGTTTCAAATTGGGGTGGAAATGAAAAGCTTTCCTCTTGATATTTTTGACTCTTCACTGTGACAGTTAAGCACACTAGTATAGTGTTAAATGATATCTGAAACAATGAGCAAATAAATATGATTAACTTACTATATTCTATAGATAATCGTAAATCCGACATTATCACAAGCACTTTCACTCACCAGCTTCATTGTGACTGAAGCTGTTATCAACTTCCAAACACAAAATTAGCGTCACGTCTTTGCACAAATAGAAAATAAACTAGTAATGAAAATGAATTCCGCATATATTTATACACATGCAATTATGTGTTTAGCGATTCGTGAAAATATCGCTCAAGAGCATACTTGTTTTCTCTTGTCTCGTATGATAGCTTTATATGCGTGCGTTGCATGCTTCTCGGTTTGTAACAAATTACCTTTAAAAATAATAATATATCTCATTTGTTTGCTTATAATATTAAAAATAATAATTTAGCCCATTTAATATCATAGTGCTGGGCATGAGCCTCTTTTCAATCTTGGATATTTCGATATAAATATATATTAATATTTCAGCATCAATATGTTTTATTGGTTACAATATGAACGACGAATTGGACAATTTGTATAGCTATCTCGACGCACTTTTTATAAAAGTGATATGATGCAATTTTATTTACGGACCATGTCAATGCACTTATGAACCGGTTTTATTTTTGTTGTTTCAAAGGCATGTTACAAATTAAGCATGCGCTATTGATAAATGTAGTAAGTTATTTAATAAAGAATTTTGTTATTACATAAATATTCATATGTTTATAATGAAGAGATCTCATATAAAGTTATAAACATGAAAGGTAAGTATTAAAACGAGATGTATTATTACTAAACATTTATTTAAAATTAATTACAAGTACATCACACTGGTTTTTAAGAGTTTCACATCTCCCTCAAACTTTCAGTAATCAAGTTCACAATGCAAATCGTGAACGGGATAACTGATGAAAACATCTTATGCTGAGGTAACTTGATTGTTCGTATCACATAAAGAATATTGGGGTCGATGAAAGGCATTATTTACGTTTAACTTGGAAAGGAAGCGAGTGAGTTTACAATATTACTTTCCATAGCCTTGAGACGGATAGTAATTATCTTGCGGGTAAGTTTGTTGAGGGTAAGTTTGTTGAGGGTAAGTTTGTTGAGGGTAAGTTTGTTGAGGGTAAGTTTGTTGAGGGTAAGTTTGTTGAGGATAAGTTTGTTGAGGGTAGATTTGAGGATATGTCGGTTGAGGTGTTGGTTTATAAGTTGGCTGAGGTGCCAATGGCTTGGGCGGCTCTTGACCTTGAGGATAGAAGGTTCCTTGCTGCTGTTGCTGTTGCTTCTTTTTTTCCTCTTCAGCTTTAGCAGCTTCAGCTTTAGCAGCTTCCTCTTTGGCATTCTGGTCCATGGACCTAAAAATAATACAGCTATGTTTGAATAACTTTATCACAATATAATAAATTAAGAATGCTTATAATAATAAAAATAATAATTTAGCCCATTTAATATCATATTGCTGGGCATGAGACTCTTTTCAATCTTGAATATTTCGATACATTATTTTCTTTCACCGTATTAGCAAGAGGTTCAACAGAAACAATTGTGTTGAAAATAAAATTGGTATAAATAATTCTCGGAGATGCGAGACCCGGAGCTTGAACCCGCTTGCTTTATTTTGGTTTTGGGCATAAAACCTAATAGCTAATGCTTTAATAAATATTGATAATTTTGATAATAAGTCTTGAATTAAATACCTAATAAGCATAAGTGTATTCTACACGATCGTAGATCTTATAAAAATTGAAAATACTACATAATATACGGAACGAGCATAGGTAAGTGTTAAATTAAATTACACGTTAACAAAAAAAATATCATTATTCAAAAAACAAAAATATTTCTCTTTAACATTTTCCATTTAAACATCAAAAAAGGTACAAATGTTTTATTTTTTATAAACTTTTTTTAGAATTGTCGTTGTTAACGATGTAAAGTATCGGGCGTAAAAAAGTTTCGTGAATTTTTTGTTACTGTAGAAAAAATTCAACATCTCGTTTCGAGATATGTTTTGTTTTATCATTTTATCTATACGTACAAATTTAATTAAACCTTTTTTGTTTTAATATTTTATAATATGAACCATATGTAATAGGTATGGTAACATAATTTTAAGATTTTGATATTGGTATACAACTTACAAGAGGCAGTCGCGCAGGGAAACGCGTGAGCGATTTTTATTTAGACTACATATTTGTACAGTATATCTAATATGTGTTTATGCTGTTAAGTTATAATGTGGATAGCCATTTGTACCTATTAGGAATAATATAGTTACAGATGTATAAAACTTACGCTTGAATCGCGTGTGGGATTGGATGAGGCGTGGGCAAATGGTCACCAACTGCGTGGAAACCTGTATCATCTGCCCAGTACGTCACAGAGTACACTTTGCCGTCAGCTGCGGTGAAGGAGTAGAAGCCTTTCTTCACAATACTCTCTTGGGGTGTGTTGGGATTGGTCAAGTAACCTTCTTCTCCTACATGGGTTCCATCAGCGATTTCGTATCTGTGAATAGTATTTTTTATAATTATAATAAACATATATTTATAACAGTTATTTTATGTAAATATTGGTATTTATTTAAAAGAGCAATTATAAAAAGCGTATCTTTAACCGGAAATAGATATGCCGTAAAACTTTATTTGAAACGAATATTTATAGTCTGGAATAATTATAGCGTGGGTTAAGAAATTATGGAAATCTATTTAAGGATGTGCCTAATTATGCAAAATTTTAGGTACGATATCTTTATACAGTTATATGGCAATAAAATAACTGGTCCGTTTTTATGTTTGTGTCAAAATTATTATGATGATATGGTGTATACCGTTAGGGTTAGATATTTAAATAACTTTTAATAACAATCGATTTCGGCCGTTATGTACGAGTATGTTCTTTTATTTTTAATAAATAGTAGAATTTTAAGTAAAATAGCAAATGCAATTTTCAATATTAAACTAAATCATTATCGAATAAAAGTTTTGAGATACAAGTAAGTGTACAAAGAGGTTCTTTGTATTTTAAAATGATAAAAAAAATACTTGACCACTAAGGTGGTCTCAAGCACTGAAGTGGTCAGTCACTGCATGCCGATGAAATTTTATTCGTGTAAATATATTTTTGGGGTATTGACATCACATTATGAATTTGGCTGAACGGGTTACATTTTCAATATAAAGTGTGGTCAATAAATTAACATGAAGGAGGGTCAAGCTATCTCGATAAGGAGTACTAAAAAGACTATCTCGGTTTAACCTTGAGTAAACGAAGTTCAGGTAACAAAACTAAACCCTTTGAAATTTTAGATTAATGACTTTTAAAATTTAAACAACTTATATCTTTTTACATTTAGTTCGGAAGTATTTATAAAGAATTTATTATTTATTGCTAATTTTAAAATTTTAGTGTTTCGTATATTTCATGTTTATGTCATATAGTTTTTATAAGAAGTTTTTGGCTTACAATCACATATGTACCTATGTGTAATAAAAATATAACTTACTCGTATTTATAGCTGCCATTATCCCCTAAAGTTTGTTCGTTCTTAATGACCGAGGTTGGTGTTGTGGTGCTGGATGGTGATTGAGTGTTTTGATTCTGATTGCCTGAATTCCAATTGTTCTGTGAACCAGCGTTTTGGGGTTTGTTCCAGGAGTTTTGGGGCTTTTGATTCCAGTTGTTTTGAGCCCCAGTATTATGCGAGCCACTCTGTTGGTTGTTCCAGGTGTTTTGTGTATTACTTTGTTGGTTGTTCCAAGAGTTTTGTGAAGTACTTTGTTGGTTGTTCCAAGAGTTTTGTGCAGTATTTTGTTGGTTGTTCCAAGAGTTTTGTGCGGTACTCTGTTGGTTGGTCCAAGTATTCTGCTGATTATTCCATCCTTTCTCAGGATTATTTTGACCCCAAGAATTTGTTGGTTTACTTGGCCGTGGAGTATTCCATGAATTCTGATTGTCATATTGATTGTTGTAGCTACTTTCTGGTTGGTAGTAGTTTCTACTTTGGAAGTTATCCTGGGATAATAAAGGAACAGCTGGCTTTATAGGATTTTCGTATGAATACGTATCCGGATTCCACCGCCGTGGAGCTAAGGTACTGGATACATACGAGAATCTATCTGCTACAGGCAGATTGAAATCTTGTGATCTTTGAGACGCAATTGAAGCAGATGCTTGAAGGTCTTCTACCTGCTGTAGGTTTGTTTCTAATTCATCTGCTAGCGCAAATGCTAGTGTGACGCTGAGAACGAAAAGCTGCAAGCAAAAAAGATTTTTTTTTAATGTTAAAGGATATACGGAATAACAAATCCATGACTGACTAAAATTTGAAAAATATTTTTTCTTTTTATATATTTACTTCTGCATATACAAATCTATATTAAATACTTTACATTTTAACTCTTAATAAGATAATGGCAGCAAAAATTAAATTCATGATTAATCAAAACTAACGGAAAATTATATTGGATTGTAACACTTTTTGAAAATATATTCACTGAAATCTCAACAAAATTTGCTTAAACGTTATGTAACTTTTATATCTCGAACGCGTTATACACTGTTGCACATATTTTTCACTCCACAAATTTGAAGCTCCAAGGACTCACCAGCTTCATCTTGATGTCCTTCCGAGTCTGCGTTCTGATCGAAACTGTGACCAGAAGGGGTCGCGGCACATTTTTATAGGAAAAATGTCCTGCGTCCTCGTGCGTATGCGCATCTCTGCGTACGCGGTAAACGATGACCTCACTCCTGATGTCCCCGATTAGATTTGAATTTGGGGTGCACTTAGTCAACCTTAAATAATTTTGAATGAATCTTAATATAAATAAATTGGAAATATAAATTAGTGTTTATAAAACCCATATTGGATTAGGATAATAAATTATATTTTAAATAAACAAATTACGTTGTAATATACTTTTCAAAAGTATATAATATATTTGAAATAAACTTATAATAACATGTAAATAAATCGGGGACCATTTTGTACCTGAATAACTTGTCTTTACTAAATAAAGTACCTAACCTACTACATTATTCTATGAATGGACAGCAAAGTTCAAGAGTCATTCATAAAAGTTGTAGGAGTTACTAGCGTTTGTTTACAGTTTATTTAACAAGTAACTAAATTTGCGTTATGTGAAGTGGACTAATAGGATATAAAGGACTTTTGCAATGTAAAATTGTTATCCATTGCCATTCCAAAATGTAGATTTATTTTTTAAAACTGTATTTAATCATTATGTTATAGAATAATTACGTTCTCACATATTTTTTTACTTTTGTATTCTTCTATGATTTTAAAATGACAGACATCTTGCCTAAGTCAGAATGATACATGTAATTTAAAATTTTGAAGTAATTACCTCAAACACGTAATTTTAATGAAAAATGTTGTAAATTAAAAGTCAATAGTCCAAAAAATATCTTATAATCTGATTACCTTTATCATTTTTTTTCCTATTTTATTTGTAAAATATTTCGATGAAAGGTAATTTGATGTCATTATATAAATAATATGATTCATAACGTGTCCTTTTTTTTAAAAGATGTTTTGACCTGATTATTTTCAAAAGGGAGTAACTTTTGCAAGTGTTCGTAATAGGTGTTGTCTAAAAAAAAAAAAAAGTTGGGACATTAACACACAGCACCATCTAATTCCATGGTAAGCACAAAGCTTGTGTTATGGATACCAGATGGTTTATACTCTACATATATATATAACTTTAAATACATACACATTATAAATATAAACACCCATGACTAGAGTACAAACATTCGTGCTCATTAGACAAATGAATGCCCCCAGCGGGACTCGAACCCGCGACCGTTGGCACAGCAAGTACGGTCACTACAAAGTGAGCCAAACGTGTCGTCAAATGTCTATATATTTAGCACGCTTTTTGATTTTCGCTAAATAAAGGGTAGGTAATTATAAATACTGCCAGTTTGATGTAGACTACCAAATAGTACCTATATCCAATGTAAGAAGACTTTTTCTTTTCTGTTAATATCATATTTTATTTATTTCCTTGTAAATTTCAGTATAAATATATAAATATTAGGTACGACAATAATTATGAATATTGAACGTATGAACTGCGTGCAAATCTGTCTTAGTTTAAGTAGAATAAAATGCAAATGTAAGAACAATGTAGAAATCTTAGACAAGGATAACAAGTAAAGTTTTTTGAACTAAAACTTTTTTGCTGTATAAGATGTGTATCATTTACTTAAAGTATATTTAGAAGTAGCAAAATAAAAAAAATACGACAAGATTCGTATAACTTACACTGCCAATTGCTTTGTGATTTATGACTCCTAATAATATATTAAACAAAAAGTGATGATGGATCTAATGTAGCAAACCATATTTACAGAGGACTCAATTGTTATTGAAATAAGTGTTTTATTTGCATATGTTTTAAAACTCAAAGTCATGCTGTGACTTATTAAATAATTGTTAAATTTAAGTGTACGGACTTATTACTTTTAAATAAATAGATTTTTTTCTTAATTTTATTATAATTGATTTAAACCAAAAGATCACGCAAAAATGGAGTCCTTGAAGATGTATGATGATGCGCGTGCTCATAAACATGTCGCTTATTTTTTTGTTTTGGTAAAATTTATTGGTTTTATGCGCATAGCTGATTGTTTTAATGAGAATATTTTTGACTGCTAGTTTGAGAGGACAATCATCCTAAAGAATATAATACATATTATACTGTTATTCATTTAAAATATGTAAATAATAAAAGATACAAATGAAATATTACGCCTGGGAAAGATATGAGCTAAGTTGAATATCTAGAAATAATTTAAATTAGTAGGTACATATATTATCGGATATTAAAGAAAATCTCAACCTCTATTAGGTTTTTATTACATGAGTTTTTAATTTTTAGTATTCGAATATTTTTTAACATTTACAAGTAAAAAATTTTGAGTTCTTTATAAGCTCAAAAATAGCTCCTTCAATTTATATCTGACTTCGTTTATTTATAGTATTCTTCTGTGTTAGAACCACTTTGCTGAATGCGGATTAGATTAAACTTTTGCATTACATACACGCCTTAGTGGTCCTATATGGGTTCTAATTTATGAGTATAAAATTTAAAATTAAAATATAATTTGGAAATTGAAAAAAATCTAGTATACAATTTGAAAATGAACATACATAATACTACTTTATACCCTCTCATTATTATATGGCTAAATGTTCTTACACATCACAATATCTATACATATAATAAAATTGTAACTAAGCCGAATCTGTACATTAAATATTTTTTTGAAAAACTTATTGAAATAAACATTATTTTCGATACAGAGGCCGAATCTATACTTTTTAGAATTTTTGTTTGTATGTCTGTCTGTTACCGCATCACAGAAAAACCAGTGGAGGGATTTTGATGAAATTTGGTATGATGATAGCTGGTTATCCGGGTCAACATATAGGATACTTTTTACCGCGGGAAAATATAAAATATCTCATTTTTGAGAAAAAAATACAAGAACTGCAATGTAAGAGTATACTAATATGTAAAACCTAAGAATTTGGTTTTTGGTCATCTGAACGCGGGCGGAGCCGCGGGCAATGCTAGTATAGCATAAACCTTGCAGCAAGCTAAACTATACGATGTCTATGAAGTGCAAAGATTAGTTAACGATCCCTCGCGTCAAATTTTTAGTTTGCTTTTAATCTTTTAATGTTTACTAAATATTAAATTGTATTGTTTAATTAAAAAAAATATTTCGTATGTTAAACGTATTTAAGACATTTAATCAAATTAAGAATTTCGGTGCAAGTAGCTAATACTGAGCTACGCTAAGATATTAATAAAGCTTATGAACATTTTTAAGACTATGTTATATCATTGTTTTATAATTTTTTTGTATATCTATATTCGTGTCCTTATGATGCTCAGTCAGAACGATGCGGTTTTATGATTCTACATATATTTTTTATACATTAATACATATAATGTAGACAAAAAGTGTTCGTGAGTTTGATAAGCTATCAGAGATTACTAAAACTACCCGAAATGCGATGTTAAGATGCCATAGCTATTCTTGTTTAATATTGTTTGCATAGTCATTGAAATAAAATTGAAGTGTGTTGTTAAATATGAAGATAATTTTTGTGATCACAGTAAATTTTGCATGAAACCATTTTTTATTATTGTACAGTTATCTTCTTCTTCTTCTCCCTGCCCGTTTCCCAATCACTTGCCTGACGTCATCCCTCCTTGGGAATGCTATTGTCTCTCTTTGTCTGAATGGTGTCGCGGAAGTCTTGTAATTACTCGTATTATGCACTTTCGATTTTGTTGTCTTTTAAAACATTTTTTATACTATTACTTAAATTTTTAATGTTATTTTCAGATATATTTTAAAATAAATTTTGATTACACAATAAATTTTGTTTTGACGTTGTCAAATTTTTTCTAACAAAAAAAATATATTGTACAGATTTACACTGAAAATAAAACCTAAATATCCCATTACATTTGTCTTCTATAATATATGTATTTTTGTAATTGGAAATTGTTATTAATGAATTGCTATTCTATATTTATACTAGAATTGCCCGCGGCTCCGCCCGCGTTCAAATGATCAAAAACCAAATTCTTAGGTTTTACATATTAGTATACTCTTACATTGCAGTTTTTCTATTTTTTCTCAAAAATGAGATATTTTCCCGCGGTAAAAAGCATCCTATATGTTGACCCGGATAACCAGATATTATCATACCAAAGTTCATCAAAATCCCTCCAGTGGTTTTTCCGTGATGCGGTAACAGATAGACAGACAGACAAAAATTCAAAAACTATAGATTCGGCATCTGTATCGATAATAATGCCTATTTCAATAAGATTTTCCAAAAAATATTTAATGTACAGATTCGGCTTAGTTGCAATTTTATTATATGTATAGATTTATGTTTCTGTTTTTTAATTCTATATTTTTGGTAATACCGTTTGTTTCTAACAAATAAATAATTCTTAATGTTTAAAGTTGAGATTGAAATTTATTTTACAAAACGAGGTTACAATATTTTTTAAGATTGACTTGAGTGGCGACACCATATAATGTTCTGTAATGAAGGACATAATTCGATTTTATGTTTATCTTACCCTTAAGTGGATTTATATCTTGACAATAAAACAAGGTTTCATATCGAAGACGAATCCATTTATAAAATTTGCATGAGACACTTCCAAATTCATCAGCGGATTATTAAGGAACTGTGGAGGTACCGTGGGAATGAATTGATGATAACAATGTGATGAGTTATTATTTCAGTGCGATGTTTTAATATATTTTAATTCAGTGAAATATAGCAGTACAAAATCTTTCAAGTGTGTTTTTTATACTAGTTTTCGTTTTTAGCTCTGCTCACGACTCATAAAACATGTTTATGTTATCCAGGAATTGCTTGGTTTTTAAGGTTTCGTATCTGAAAGGTGCCAACGGAAGCCTATTACTAAGCCTCCGCTGTCCGTCCGACCGTCAGTCAGAGGGCAGTGTCTCATGAACCGTACTAGGTAGAGAGTTGAAATTTTCACAGAATAACAACAAATAATAAAAATAGTAAAAGTCATATTAATAAAAAGTACATGTACGATGGTAAGGAGCCCTTCGTGTGCGAATTCGACTCGCAATTGACCGATTTTTCCATATTATTATTAATATAAGAACTAACGGTTACGTGCTAAGATTGTATTCTATATAATAACAAACTTTACCTGGATAAGATATTAGTTTATTTTTACATATTAACATCTTTATAAAAATAAGTCTCATTTCTGAAAGCGATTGTCAAAAAAATATTATAAACTAGCATTACCCGCGGCTCCGCGTTCAAATGACACAAAAACCAAATTCTTATGTTTTACATATTACTCTTTCATTGCAGATTTTATATTTTTTCTCAGAAATGAGATATTTTCCCGCGGTAAAAAGTATCTTATATGTTGAGCCGGATAACCAGCTACCACCATACCAAATTTCATCAAAATCCCTCCAGTGGTTTTTCTGTAATAGACAGACAGACAAAAATTCTAAAAACTACAGATTCGACCTTTGTTTCGATAATAATGTCTATTGCAATAAGATTTTCCAAAGAATATTTAATGCACAGATTCGGCTTAGAATATTATTATATGTATACTTAATTCTTTACAGGACTCCTTAAATATTAAATTGCAATATAACATATGTACTTAATATCAAAACCTGAACTTCTGTGATAAGCTCTTTAAATTCTTGTTTGTGTCAATATTCGTCCCCCAAATATATTACCTACTTGGCATCTCCATGAAACCTTATTGAGTTAGTGGTTTATCTTGGAATGTTTGCGGCTGAGTCCGTACACTCATAAATATAATAACTCATGTGATAGAATGTATGTGGGGATACTAAAACGTTTATTGAATTATATTAATCTTCCACGTATGTATGTTATGGTTTTATTTATTACTAGCATTACCCGCGGCTCCGCCCGCGTTCAGATGACCAAAAACCAAATTCTTAAGCTTTATGTATTAGTATACTCTTAAATTGCAGTTTTTGTATTTTTTCTCAAAAATGGGATATTTTCTCGCGGTAAAAAGTATCCTATATGTTGACCCGGATAACCAGCTAACATCATACCAAATTTCATCAAAATTACTCTAGTGGTTTTTCCGTGATGCGGTAACAGACAGACAGACAGACAAAAATTCTAAAATTCGGCCTCTGTATCGATAATAAAGTCTATTTCAATAAGATTTTTCAAAAAAATTCAATATACAGATTCGGCTTACTTACGATTTCTTTTATATGTATAGATTTTAATGCCTCAAATTATCTGTGTCGCTCGAAGTAACGAAAGGTAGAATAAATTTGCCATCGAAACAGTGTTTATGCAGAATGGGGGTGAATTAATGGGTACTAAATCACCACCTGGTTTTAAATTATCGGCCCCATGAAAGGAGTACTCTTTGGTTTTTAATCTTTGCTATTTTTTTTA